CCATGTGGTTAGGTTTCCCTGACAATTCACCATAGTACTATTTATACTTCTGGGCCTGGTTGTTCGAAGGGTGGATAACACTATCCACCGGATAAATCACTATCCAGTGGATAGAACAAACTTTGACAACCAACAAAAGTAACCAATCAAAAAACTGTCTACTAGGTTTTCCCGAGAAGTCCGCATTTTGTTTGTGTCAAATTTTGTTCAGAACCATTGTCTGGATGCTTCAACACTATTGGTCAGTTTACGAAAAAGGTCGCCATCCTTTGTTCTCAATAATATTTATTAACGTTTTGATTGTCATGGTTACTTTTCTTCAAACTGGCCCACTGGTCGCACTGTAATAGGAGAATTTCATTCTATTTTAACCAAACTTTTCAGTCGTTGATACACACCAGGCCATTTCAAGTCCCTGATTGTAGACATGGTACATTTATATATTGAATCTGGAAAAAAAGATTTTGGTTTGGTAAAAGTATGGATTAACATTACGTCTCATGATTGAGTTTTATAAGAATACAATGTTCTAATTTATTCTGTCTTCTTTTCTTAGTTTGATCATGAATTACAGGAGTTAAAAGCTCTACATCTCAAGGAGCTCACAGAACGTGATGGAAAGATGAAAATCTTGAAAATGCACATGGCTGATGCTCTGGGGGATAATTCAAGGTAATCTTTTTTTCTTGATTATTAACCCGACACTTCATTCACTCCCAAGAGTGCCAAAGTTCAAAAGGAGGCAAAGTCAAAATTTCAATCTGCAAAATATTGACAAACAAACATTATATAACATTTTTATTAGCTAGCAAAGCTGCGCAATAAAATTCAGTAGCGCTAGCGTGCACCATAATCTTGTTGAATTGAGCATGCTGATGGCACAAACAAATTTGACCTGTCGCTTTGACAGAGTATCGCACCGTTGATTGGTTCTGAATTAAGACACAGTTTGGCACTGACTTGGGTTCACACCACACATTTCGAGGAGTACCCCCCTGGGGGGGGGGGGGGGTTCATCCACAGACTCAAAAGTTAGTACCACGTTAATAAAATTTTAATTGACCCAAGGTTTGACTAAAAAAATCAACTAAACCAGTGCACCCCTATTCCACCTATCCCTTCAATTATTGGTATCTATCAAAAAGTCTTGTAAACAAGTTTTTGATTATTTACAGAGAGAGGCAACTACAGCTTGAAGAGCTGACCAAGGAGCTTAGAAGAGTAACAGATGAAACAGATGTTTTGAAATCCAAACTGCAGTCTATGAAATCATCAAATCAGGTACATACTGGTACTACATTTTATGTTAAACTCATCAACAATAGATGAGCTTGGGGAAGGTGCCTGTAAGGTTGGTGGAGCCACATGCAAAACGAGTCGAGTGTGGGTAACCATGGCAACCCTGAGAGCGGCAACCACCAGGCACTGTCGCACTGATAATCAGTGGAAAAGCTAAATACTTACCCTATACTTACCTAAAGGGAGGGATGGGCCGGGAGCAAATACTTTGAGCGCCGACAACGAAAGGCAACACGCTCGAAATGGCTTGACATCCACAGGAGAGCTGTAAGACAATAAGGGCCCTGCAAAACCCCCAGGCCACCCGCAACCCTATGGTCATGCGGGTACCGCTGGCCACTATTGTCGCGCTTTTAACTTAGCTTGAATTCAAATACAACCCCAGTCTGTCTATAAGCCTGAGTTGCTAAATATCATGAAGTGGCTGGTTGTATCACTACTCCCCTGGATGGGATGCTAGTCCATCACAGGTAACCCCAAGCATTTTTGTCAGGGTGCCCTTGCAATTTGCAGTACCCATTTATACTCCTGGGTGGAGAGAGGCACTGTGAGAGTTATTGTCTTGCCCAAGAACACAAGAACACAACACAGTGACCTCAGCCAGCACTCGAACCCAGACCGCTTGACAAGCTTTTAGCCAGAAGGGCACCCTGGAGTCCAACATGCTAACTCCTAAGCTGCCCTTTATATTACTTGCAATTGCTAGCCGAGTAGAATATACATGCCATGTGGAATTCCATTTTCCAGCAGGCATGACTTTTCTAATTTTCTGTCCTGTATAATTAATATTGCAGGGCAAGTGTCCAAATTGTTTTGTAATGGAGAGGCAACTTCAATCCAAAATTGTTGAACTGAGAGACAAAGAAGTTGTAACCATTGAGATGCAGCAGTTGTGTGCGAAAATGGAAAAACAACTTGTGCAACAGGTATGAGAAGCGTGACATACATGTACATAGCTACAGTCAAAGCTCCCGTAAGCGACACCCTTGCGAAGCAGAAAAAGTGCCCACAACTGGAGCTGGCCACTTTAATATGGGAATATGTAAATACAGAGTTTGTATGAGTTAGAGTTCAAACAGAGTTTTTGTCAAGACAGCTGCAAGTAGAGCTGTCTGCTTACGAGAATGTCCGCTCAAAGAGCATCGACTGTATTTTATGCATGCTTAATGAGATATTGCCATGGTAGCCAGTTTCGTAAGAGGCATGAAGAACTGTCTTTGACTCCTAAACATGATCTATTTGATTCCTTCACTGGTTGTAATTCTTTTGCTGATTTGGTTAGATAAGTTAACAGCCATTGGTTGAAATTGTCATTGATGCTTATCAGGCTGGCGCTTCACTCTGGTTTCCATAACAACTAGAATTATTGCTCTCCCCCCCCCCCCCCCCCCCCTGGATATAGGACGTAAGTCCATCCCGCATTTTTATACTCCTGGGTGAAGTGTACATGTCTTGTCCATGAACTAGATACAACACAACACTGCTAGACGTGGAGTCCAACATGCTTTACCATTGGTTGACCTCGATCATACCGTAATGATTCAATTTACCACCCGGGGTGCTAATGTACTTTTGGTAGCTCAAGGGAGGGCGTGGGGCACTTATTCGGGACGTGGTGCTTATTTTTTTTTTTTTTTTTTTTTACATAAACATTGGAGTGTGAAAAAGCACTTTAATGAACAATAACAGAAACTAGGATGCTAATAACTGTAACAATATGGGTTTTCATAGTCAGAATAGCATTCACTTGTCTGTTCCAAGTCAATATCTTCAATATTACTTTCAAACGAGAAAGGAAGCTAAATGACTGCCTCAAAGCAGTTGATCTTGTGATGCCATGATGAATGGGCGCTTGTTATTGGAATCGGGGGCACTTATTGGAGTAGGGGCACTTACACAACATGGACGCTTATCAGAAGGGGGTGGTTATTGGAATCGGGACGCTTATTAACAAAACAACACTCAAGGGGGAGAGCTTATTTGAATGGAGGCGCTTATTGGAGGGAGGACGCTAAATCGAATCGTTATGGTAACCCACAAAAAATTATTATGTAAAATAATCACCTCACCTCTGCTCTTTGTGCTCTGTTGCACATGAGGCCTTCACGCTTTTCCGCCATCTAACTTTGTCTGTCACTAGCTGTCTGACCTCGGACCAAGACTTCCAGCCAGCTGCATCTCTTTCCCTCTCTACTGTTCGTCGCCAAGTCATCTTGGGTCTGCCAACCTTCCTTTTCCCGTCGGGCTTCCATGTCAGAGCAGTGACACAGGTGTTGTCTGGGCATCCTAAGCACGTGCCCAGCCATCTCCATCAGCTATTAGATAATCAACAAATTTTGTGATCTTCATTGTGAAGTTTTCTGTTTCCAGGATGAGCTTTTACGGCAGTGGGCAAAGAATAAAGGAAAGCCAGTTAGGTGATAAAGCAGGTAAAATGTTTCTTTCAATTCAACTTTTTCCATTCAAATAACCTACCATGGTTCTTACGGATCAATGTATTCTTGCAAAATATAGGTGACACTGTAGCATATAGGGGCAATAAAGATATGATTGCTGGTGTGGGCAGATTGGCTGGATTGCAGCCTTCAGTTCCACTCAGTTATAAGGCCACAAAAGTAATTTAATCCTTTCACTCCCAAGAGTGTCAAAGTTCAAAATTGAAAAAAATCTCAAATTTCATTTTGCAAGATATGGAAAAACAAACAGTACCACATGAAAGTACTGCTCATAAGCTTTCACTTGAATGGTCACACACTAGGGTTTCATCCACAGATGGATATTAAAAAGTTAGAAACACAATAATTGATTTGATGCTTGCTTCTGGGAGTGAAAGGGTTAAGATATTTATTTTTTCTTTCATATTTTTTACAGACATGTGACATATTGTGGTGTATACAGCTGACAGTCACCAGGAAAATATTATTGTCCATAAAGTTGATTATGTAGAAAGCCAATTTTATAACAGGAATTAATCTATAATCCAAAACTAATGGAAGTACTGTGGATAGTGGTGGGGGGGAGGGAGGGGGGGGGGGGGGGACAGGGGTGTCTGAACTTCCCGCTTCCCGTACCTTGTACTCCCTTTTGTTGTGGTTCCTGCCTCTTTGTACTTTTCCTATTGAAAAATATTACACAATGTTGCAAAACATTTTCTTATTTCTCCCACGGGTTCCCACCACTTTGAGAATCCTGCTTCCTGCTCTCTCTCTCAATCTCATACCCAGAGTCCTGGTCTCCTCGGTCAGCGGTTAGTCGTCGCCAGGTGAGACTCTGGGGAAATGGAATTGAGAATCCCAGAAATGTGGGATTCAAACTGTTGTTTCAGCCAATCACAAAATTCAAAAAAATTCAAAAAAAATCCCATTCCCCCAGAGTCTCACCTGGCGACGACTAACCACTGACCGAGGAGACTGTGGACTCTGGGTACGAGATTGACCCTCTCTTCTCCTGCCTCCCATAGACTTCCCGCCCCTTTACTCACAGGTTCCCACCTCCTGTCCCCCTCCCACTGGATAAGTCTGCGATACTACAAGAAAAATCTCATGGTTACTGGCACCTTTTTCCCTGACACCATGGTCACCTGAGAAAGATCTTATTCTGTCAGTGACACAAGCTACTCGGGAAAAAAACAGGAGACGAACCTATGACCTTCCGCACACCGGTCAGACGCTCTACCACTGAGCTGACCATGGTCACCTCTTACTAACATAAATTAAATTAAATACAAAAAAAAATACCAAAGAAAATATTATTACATTGTAATTAGTTCAGATTTTCTATTCATTCTGCAAAGAAAAGTGTACCAGTAACCTTGGGATTTTTCTTGAAAATATACTTACATACATACTTTAACGAACCTCAAAAAAAAAAAACAAGGCAAAGTTTTTCTACGTAAAATAAAGGCTCATGCAAAATAACAGAAAAATCTGAACAAAAAACAAAAAACAAAAAAAACAGACCCAAAAAGTCACATGAGTTGGATATGCCTTCAGCCTTTCAATTGGGGGAACAGAAAAAGAGATGTTTTAAAGGCAAAACAGGAGTGGGCTGGGACCCTCTTTGCTGTTGCCCCTGCCCCTCCCACTTCCCCATAATTTTATTTGGTTGTAAGGGGGAGAGGGAAGGGGTAGGTTTAACTTGAGGATTATAATACTATAAATGAACTTTTACAGTGCTCAGCATTTATGAGTTACAATAATTTATTAAATTGCATGAATATTTATTGGATTGGAAGGATTAAAGGATTGAAGATTTAGTTTTACTCTAAGTGGATTTTGTACCTATTGTCACATTTTGAGTTTTTGTCAAAAACTAATCCACAAAGAAGGGTCTTTTTAATTGCTGTGTGAGACAATCGCTCAAGTCAAAGTACACACGGCGTTGTAGACGTTTTAGCACTTGTTTTGGCCAGGTGTCACAGAGGGGTTTGGAAATGTGAAAAATAACTGTAAAGTTTTTTTTTAAAAGTGGAAATAAACCATGAGAGCGTTTCTGCAGTGGTTGTCTGTTTTGTTGTGGTTATTTCCTATGGTGTTGTCTAGCTTTTCTATATAATGCAAATGCACTGTTCTTGGATATATATTTGGGGTTAATTGCATGATTTACATGTCAAAGAGATCAAAAAGAATAATTTGGTGCTATTAAACCTGTTTTAAAGTGTCAATTGTGGTAAGGTAAAACAAACAAAACTCCACATTAAAAAATCAATTGAAATTGCTTTCCTGTTGACCAAGTAGGCTTACCACAGGAGTATAAAAATAGAATTTGTGAAGAAAAGAGTGCATTCCACTCCATAAGAAACAAAAATAACCCAATAGTTCGAAAATGAGAGTTTTCTAAGACAACCAATGAACACGGATTTTCAAAAAGAAAGTAATTTGTTTGCGCGCGCTTTGCAACTCCTACTCGTTCCTATGGTAACCGTTATTGTGTTTAGGTCTCTCGTGTGAAGTATAGTTTATCCTTTTGTGTCGCTCTGCTCTGTGTTCATCGTTTCTTTGTACTTGGAATTCATAATTGCAAAGGTAACGCGACAAGTCTTTTGTGCTTTTGTCAACAGACAAGCTGAGATAATTTTCGAGCATTTAAGCTTATATTGTCCCAAGGGAGTGATTATTTTGACACTTTTAAAACCGAGTTGTTAATTTCCGTCTCGAGAGATATCCTTTCCCTTTTTTCTCCGTAGCTAAATCAATCAGTGTTTGTGTGAGATTTTGCAATCTGTTATCGCTTTGCAGGCATTGTGTTGAGCTGCATCATTTTAGCAAAAGTGATGTGTTTCTAAGGAGATGGGATAGACAAAAACGAAGTTGTACAAAACGAAAGTTGTATCGACGGCACGAAAACGCGAGATCCAAGACTTGTGACACGACCTGCTTCGCGCCCGTCACGCTTGTGGAACATAGTTTTGACGTCGATAATTACAGGCCAACTGAAGCTGAAAAATTCAACTAACGAGCAAAGTAAACAAAAGTCTTAACCTCTGCATCGCCGGTAAAAACGCACAGATAGCCTCTACGTACAAAGGGCGAAACACTTCAAGTTACGACGCGCGCTCGGTATTGAAAACAAACAAGTAGATCATATTTCAAGAATCTCGAAAAGTGCTGCAATCCTACGTTGAAATCTCCAGGATAAACTGATCTTCTTCCCGTGTTTAATGGCCCGTACTAATTGTGATAATCATTCATGAAGTGGCATGCTAAAGAGCCATGACATGGAACAGTCTAGCTCGTCAAAATTTCCGCAAAAATCGAGGCGAATTGTACACAAATTCCGCGGGAGAAAGGTCACCACTCTACGATTCAGACTCTCCAAGCGATACTCCGTCTGTTAACGGGTAAGTTAATCAATTTTGGAAAAGTTTATGTGCTAAGTGAAAACATATTTATTAAGTAGTCGTTTTATTACTCACTGTACCCTTAATTTCTGTTTGCGATCAATCTTAAACTTGTCAGAAAAAAGGATACGAATTTTTGCTCGACATAAAAGCTAATTGCCTCTGCAGGATTTCTCTCGGTGAATAATATTTTTAATTGCATCGAGTTGTCGCTTAGTAATTGTGTCAATGCAATTGAAAAATTACAGTTATATTTTCTTTAAAGTTGCGTTGGTTCGCAGCTGCAGAAGCTTAAGTTTTGTTTATCAAGATGTTATTGCTCACGCTGTGAAAACAGCTGGACTTCTTCATCAACAAACGGCGCTCGCGAAAACTAAAATTAGTTTAGTCAATTGGTCTAGAAATATATACGCTGTGACGCCTACTCTTTTATTCACCTTGCTGTGTGCAGGAAATTAACCGAATAGTTAAGAAATTCTGCAATCCATTAAGGTTTCGTTTAATAGCACTGAAATGAGAAAATATGACAACGTTGTTTACATTTGTTACCAACAGTAGCGCCCCCGCAAGCGAATCAACTTCGGCAAGATCTTCCCGTTCGTCAAACTTGGGATCAGGGTTATCCAGTCGCTCTACAGAAAGCGATGGCGAAATCGAGGCATTGGATAACGTACGAGTTGTAGCAAGGTTGGTAAATTGTGTTCGGATGTTTACATTTCGCTAATATCTTTGACAGGTTAATTATTTTCAAGTTGTCGTGACTGCCTCCTTGTATATTTGATTTGGTTTTAATTTTGCGGCGGCCTATTAAAAATCGCGCCGCTAAACTTCAAAGCTCACGAACTTCAGTTTAGTTTTGATTAAAAAATCATGTACGATAGATAATTATGGAATTATTGGATGTTGTTGATCATGATATCGAAAATTATCAAGACCCAAGATTGTGTTTATATCTGTCATATCAAGCCCCCTGTCATCACTCACCTTCAAATTCCCAGTACAAAGTTTTGATAAAATTTTGCTATCATGTAAAAGCAAAATCCGATAAGTTAATTGTTTTATTTATACACTACACCAACTAATTCTTTAATTTAAAGCATTTTGCTAAAAATATTAAATTTCATTGGACCCACCAATTGGGAAATTATCGAAGGGAGGTGGTCTCTCAGTTGACCACTGAAATGGAGAGCCCCCATGAAAATTAAAATTACTGTTAAGAATATTACATGTACATAACATCAAGCTGTCGTAAGGCTGTGTATTATATGATAAAATGGAGTAAAATAATACTTGAACGTTTATGTTTGCTTTCTGTCCACCACCCCTCGCATGCACTGCTTTGCAGCATATGACAGCAGTTTTATGAGTTATTTTGTGAGTTGCTTGTTCGGAATATATTTTACCTGTAATAACACAAGGCATGCATGGAACAATGAGACTAACGAATTTCGCACCTTGTCTCAAATTTTGCCAAAAAAATTCATTTCCTTAGATATTCACTTTTATAAGAACTTCTGGTCCTCAAAAGGCCAGTTCACAAACTACAATATGGCCTAATTAGAGTCTGATTGGTGCACAAACCAGCTGTAACTATCAAATGCTATATTGCAAATTCACTTTCTCGCCATCTGTACTACAAGCCTGAACAATTTAAATTGCAGTTAAATTCTGAGAAATTTGAGTATGTCAAAATTCCTGCCCAATTTAGCCGTGATCCCCAGAGCAAGGAAAAAGTTCCACAACAAACACTTCCCTGTGGTACCCAGGTGAAATATTGACAGCTTTAGTGTAAGAAAAAAATAGCCTAGCGCAATGAAAAGAATATCAGGAGCGGATCCAGGAAAATGCGTCTGAGCGCCGAATCTATGGAAGTCCGGAGGCATGTTCTAAAAGATTTTAGATTTTCACTCTCTCAATTGACATTTCCCGCGATTTTGTGTTGTTTGGAAATTTAACTGATTTCCGTAAAACAGTGGAAACCGGTCTGGTTCCACGCCTCGATATGTATAATATTTTGAGTGCAAAATTAATTTATTTTTCATTCTACATTGTCTTCTGCGTCGCCGTCTTGAGTTCCCTGGTTGATCATCATTGAGGCTACTGTATTTCAAACTTCTTCAATATCAATCCAAGTCAATTTATTGTGCATTCTATCCGTGCCATATTGCCAAATTTGCAACAACAAAAAAAAACATTCCAAAGTGTACATGTATAGTTTTGATGCATTTGATGCATTTGATGCATTTGATTATTGTAACATTTAGACCAAAATGAAAAAAAAGAACCCCAGGAGGATTCAAGCCCTCGCCCTCACCTTCATGCTCTGGAAACCAGAGTTAAGTGCCGTCCTGATAAGCCACTTAAGGCTTGTAGACAAACTAAACCTTGTAGCTTGATCCTCCTAGATGAGCTCAGTGAATGAGGGAATCCATTGGCACACACCCAGCTGGGGCACCCATCATGATCCTGGTGACATAATTTTAGAAATAAATTTATAGTGAATATTTAATTGCTGATAAGTTTTTTTTTGCTATCTTCATTTAGAGCACGTCCTTTAAATCTTTTTGAGAAAGAAAGAGGAGACAAGAACATTATCAAGCTGCCAGGAGATGGAGCAGTATGGGTGAGACTCTACTTAATAATCTACTTGCAAAGGCTGGTACTGCATGGCCAGTTGGAAAATATCAGATATCATGTGTGGTGCCAGAAAATATCCATACCCCCCACCCCATGGAAGGGTTTTTTTGGTTGAACCCCCCAACCCTACCCCCACCCCCTTGGAATTTCCAGTCCCAATTACCTTCCTTGTGGTGGGTATGGATATTTTCTGGAGCCACACAAAATAGATACAGTACCGCTC